GTGGGGAGAGCCAGGAAGCCATCCACCCCCCCCCACCCCACCCTGCCGAGGCAGGATGGTAAGAGGAAAGTCTTAAACCCAGCTTCTAAAAAAATTAACTAGCTGGGGCACCTGGGTGGCTCAGTGGGTTGAGCATCCGACTTTGGCTCAGGTCATGATCCCACCGTTTGTGGGTTAGGGCCCCACATCGGGCTCTGTGCTGACAGCTCAGAGCCTGGAGCCTGCTTCCGATTCTGTGTCTCCCTCTCTCTCCGTCCTCCCCTGTTCACACTCTGTGTCTCTGTCTCTCAAAAATAAGTAAACATTAAAAAAAATGTTTTTAATTAACTAGAATCATTCGATACAGGAAGAAGAAAATAAAAAACAGAAAATCCAGCAACATCCAGGAACCTAGCCTGCTCCAGAGCACTCGTCAGCTTCATACCTTCAAGGAAAGCAGGGAGCAGGGCAAGGAAATGGGTGACAGAGAAGACGTCACGCCTGGTACCTAATCTCTGTGGGTCCGAGCAAGTCTGGCTGCACCCATCTGGAAGACGGCTCTTATCACCAACCCGGCTGAACTTCCCGGGGAACTTGGGCTGGCTCTTCTCACATCCTCACCCTGTGTCTAGGGGAAACGATAAGAAAAAGCTGCTCCCAAGGAAAGGACACGAATTCTGTGGATTGACAGAGAACTGCAAGGGTTTGACTGATTCCACTTGACTGAGGGGTTAGAACCAGCTTCACCATCGTGTCTCCCACAAGCTTACTGTGTACCAGGCTCTCAGCTGGTACCCTCACCCGGCACTGCATCCATCCCCTAACTCCCCCTGGGAAGTAGATACTATTACTGTCCCCGTGTCATAGATGAGAATTTCTTTGTCTCTTTACCGCGCCCCAGGCATTTGGCTCCTGGAGCCCCAGCTGCCCCCACGCTGCCAGAAAATGGCAGAGCTAGAATGTGGCCCCACCAGGGTTCAGAGCCTGTGCTCTTAACCAATAGCTGTGCTGCCCCAGCATATTGTGGCTACAGCATATTGTGTGATGACCACACAACGGGTAGTATGCCTGCTAGTAACGTTTATTTATTTTTTTATGCCAAAATCAACCAACCGACAGACAGAAAATCATACAGAAACCACAAGTCCAAAATCGCCGGGTCAGAGCCCAGGATGCTAAAAAAAAAAAGCTTCTGAATCCATTTTCAAAGCCAGTATAACATTAAAAACTCACAAAGGAAAAACCCAACATGAAGCTGGTTTGTCTTACTTAGGAATAGTGAATAACAATCTAAATAGAGGACGAGCGACCAGAGTGCTGCCACATATTAGAAGGTCAGCATACAGGGCCACCTGGGTGGCTCAGTAGGTTGAGCATGCGACTTCGGCTCAGGTCATGATCTCACAGCTCTGAGTTTGAGCCCTGCATTGGGCTCACTGCAGTCAGCACAGAGCCCACTTCAGATCCTCTGTCTCCCTCTGTCTCTGCCCCTTCCCCACTTGCGTTCTGTCTCTCAAAAATAAATAAATCTTTAAAAAAAAAAAAAAAAAAGAGGGGCGCCCGGGTGGCTCAGTCGGTTAAGCGTCCGACTTCAGCTCAGGTCATGATCTCGCGGTCCGTGAGTTCGAGCCCCGCATCGGGCTCTGGGCTGATGGCTCAGAGCCTGGAGCCTGCTTCCGATTCTGTGTCTCCCTCTCTCTCTGCCCCTTCCCCATTCATGCTCTGTCTCTCTCTGTCTCAAAAATAAATAAACGTTAAAAAAAAAAATTAAAAAAAAAAAAAAAAGAAAGCCAGCATACCATGATGACATGGAGTTCATCCCAGGAATGCAAGGCTGGTTCAATTTTAGAAAATCTGTTACTGTAATTCACTATAACGACAAATAAAAAAATAATAATAAGGATCATCTTATAGATGCTAGAAAAGAATTTATACATTTCAACATTCTTTCCAGATTTTAAAAACAGAGAAACAAAAAACCCTTAATAAAATAGGAATAGATGGGTATTTCATGAACATGATTTACACACCTTGGGCATCAAAACAAAATCCAGACCACACTGAGTGTTGACAAGGACACAGAGCAACCAGAACTGCCACACATTGTTTGTGGACATGCAAAACACGTGGAGAAAAGGTCTGGGGGCACCTGGGTGGCTGAGTCGGTTGACTGTCTGACTCTTGATTTTGGCTCAGGTCATGATCTCAGGGTTGTGGGATCAATCCCTACGTCAGGCTCCACACTGAGCATGGAGCCTGCCTGGGATTCTCTCTCTTTCCCTCTGCCCCTCTCCCCTGTTCACACACTCTCTCAAAAAAAAAAAAAAAAAAAATTAAAAAGGGAGAAAATGTCTGTTACTTTCTTATAAAACTAAATATACACCAACCTTGCAATCCAGCAATTCTACTCCTAAGAATTTTCCCAAGAGAAATGAAAGCAAATATCCCAAAAAGACCTGTACATAAATGTTCATAATACTATTATTCATATTAGCCCCAAACCGGAAAGGACCAAACAACAGGATACTGGTTAAACAAATGGTGATATAGTCATATAATGCATGTCTGAATCTGCTCAGGCCGCCATAACAAAATACCATAGACTGGGCAGTTTAAAGAACTGAAATGTATTTTCTCATGGTCCTGGATGGAGGCTGAAAGTCCAAGAAGACAGTGCTAGCATGGTCAGGTTCTGGCGAGAGCTCTGTTGTTGGATTGCAAATGGCCGCCTTCTCCCTGCATGCTCACACGGAGGAGAGAGACAACAAGCTCTCTGGTGTCTGTTCTTATAAGGGCACTGATCCCATCAGACCAGGGCTCCACCTTAATGACCTCACCTAACCCTAATTGCCTCCCAAAGGCCCCATAGTCAAATACCGTCACATTGGGAGTTTGGGCTTCAACATGTGAATTTGGGGGGAGACGCAAACATTCAGTCCATACCAATGAAACAATATTCAACAATGAAAAGAACTGTTGATATCTGTGGCAACATGGATGAGTCTCAGAAACACGCTTTGTGAAAGAAGACTTACACAAGAGTACAATCCCTTTTATATCAAGTTCTAGAATCGGTAAAACTGATCTGTGGTGGAAAAAAAATCAGAACTGTGGCTGCCTGAGGTTGGGGGATAGGGACTGAATTGGGAAAGAGTACAACAGAACTTTCTGGAATGATAGCAATATTCTAAATCCTGATAAGAGTTTGGGTTACACAAGAACATGAATTTATCAAAACTCATAGAATGGCATACTTAAGATTTGCGCATTAAGTTGTATGTAAATTTTACCTCAAAAAAAAAAAAAGCAAATATTGACCTCTGGTTAATGACATGGATGCTGAAATTTTGGGAGGTAAAGTGTGCTGATGTCTTCAATTTACTTTGAAATGCATCAAAAATAAATAAATAAGACGGATTGATGGATGGAAGGGAAGGGTAGATGGATAAAAATGTAATAAAGCGAGTATAATGAAATGTTAATTGTAGCCAAGTAGGAGCTGGGAATGAGTGTTCCCTACGCAATTCTTTCAACTTTTCTGTATCTGAATTTGTTCATAATAAAATGTTAGAGGAAAGAACCAACTTCATACTTCACAGTAAAATGCTAGAAGCCCTGCCATTAAAGTCAGAAATAAGTCAAGGATACTTTCTATCACCAGTATTATTTAATTTCTTTCTGAACGTGCCAGCAAGGTTACAAACTCAAATGCCTTCAGGGGTCATGCAGGTAATTTTTAAAAGTGAAGATAATTAGGTTTTTAAAAACAGGGACTAGTTAGAGGCACCTGGGTGGCTCAGTCAGATGAGCATCTGATTTCAGCTCAGGTCATGATCTCGTGGTTCGTGGGTTCGAGCCCCGCGTCGGCCTCTGTGCTGACAGCTCAGAGCCTGGAGCCTGCTTTGGATTCTATGTCTCCCTCTCTCTCTCTGCCCCTCTCCCGCTCACGCTCTGTGTTTCTCTCTCTCAAAAATAAAAATTAGGGGCGCCTGGGTGGCGCAGTCGGTTAAGCGTCCGACTTCAGCCAGGTCACGATCTTGCGGTCCGTGAGTTCGAGCCCCGCGTCGGGCTCTGGGCTGATGGCTCGGAGCCTGGAGCCTGTTTCCGATTCTGTGTCTCCCTCTCTCTCTGCCCCTCCCCCGTTCATGCTCTGTCTCTCTCTGTCCCAAAAATAAATAAAAAACGTTGAAAAAAAAATAAAATAAAAAATAAAAATTAAAATTAAAAAATTAAATTAAATTTTAAAAATAGGGACTGGCTAAACTCTAGGATCAGGACCTATCTCAGGGCAGAGGCTCATACGCTCCAGTGTATTTTTCCCGGCAGGAATACCAGCCCAGTGTTGTCTAACCACCTAAAATTTCAAGTGAAGCTGGAATTTCAGCTTTAATATATGGGCACAAACTCTCGATTTTTTTTAAAACATGGTTGAATTATTTTGCAAATACAGGAAATACACCTGGTCCTACAGCAGTTAGTTTTCAACCTCCATTCTAGCAAATAGATAAGAATACAAAGGAAAAAAAGGAAAGGTAAACCCAAGAGAATCAACTAAAAATCTATTCAAAAATCCAAGAGCTTCAGTAAGGTGACTGATTACAGACGTAATACATAAAAATTGATAGCTTTTACACATAAACCACAACCTATTGGAAAATACACAGGAAGGGAGGAAACCTCATTTATAATAGTAAAATAAAAGGAAATAAACCTAATAAGAAATGCACAGGATCTATGAGTAAAACATTAAAACTCTACTGAGGGTGTAACAGAAAGCATCGGCTAGGGGCACCTGGCTGGTCAGCTGGGACAGCGTGCAATTCTTGATTGCAGGGCTGTGAGTTCAAGCCCTGTGTTGGGCATAGAGGAGAGAAAGAAAGGGGAGGGGTGGGAAAGGAGGGGGAAAGGAAGGAGGGAAGGAAGGAAGAAAGAAAAAGACAGAAAGAATAGGCTAAACGTTGCAGAAACAACCACCACCAAAATCTCAGTGGCTTAACACAACACGAGCTTATTTTTCTCACCTGAACTCAGCTGTGTATCTGGGTGAGTGTTGGAGACAGTTGTCCTCCACGTGTGGCTCAGCAATAGGCTTGCCTTCGTCCCGTGATGCCTCATGCTCCCACGATCACCAAAGCAAGGGAAGAGAACGCAGAGAACCACGCTTGGGTTTGTCACTGGCTCAGCCCCAAAGTGTCACATGTCACCTTTGCTCATATTTCACCAGCCAGAACCAGGTATGTAGCCCTGCCATGTACAAGAAGCTGCAAAACGTAGAAGGAATGAATTAAATACTTGCTGAGAATTTACTGCGCCTGCCCCAGAGTAAATGAAAGTCATAATGTGATCTTGATTTAAAAGACTCACGGAAGATATCAATTCTCCCTAAGTTAATGCTATAAGTGTAATATAATCCCAATTAAAGTACCAACAGGAGGGGAGGCTGGCTGGCTCGGTTGTGGAACATGTGACTCTTGATCTAGGGATGTTGAGTTCGAGGCCCACGTCGGGTGTAGAGAGCACTTAAAAATAAATAAATAAAGTACCAATGGATATTTCTTGGAACAAAACAAGTAAATCTTAAGCTCATGGGAAAAAAGAAACATGTAAGTATAGGCAGAAAAATTCTGGCAAAAGAAATAGTAACGGGTATGGGGACTAGCCCTACTACATACGAAAACATATTACAGAGAATCAGTAATTAAAATAATTTGGTACTGGGGGTGCCTGGCTGGCTCGGTCAGAAGAGCGTGTAACTCTTGATCTCAGAGTCATGAGTTCAATTCCCATGTTGGGTGTAGGGATAGATCACTTGAATAAATAAATAAAAACTTAAAAAAAAAAAAAAAAACAATTCAGTACCAAATCATGAATAGACAAACCAATCAATGGAAAGAATAGAGGGTCTAGAAATAAACACATATCGAAATTTGGTGTATTAAAAAAGCTGGCATTTCAAAACAATAAGGAAATTTTTTATTATTTTATAACTAGTGTTGGGACAGCTGGCTATGCATACTGAGGGGAAAAGTCAAATCCTGACCTCACTTCTTATACTAAAACGTATTCTGGATAGATAAAGGATCTAAATATTAAATAAAACTATAAAAATACAAAAGAAAACATGAAAAACATTTGAAATTTTGAAAAGATTTTAAGATCTAAGCGAGATACATGTTCCATGAATTATTTCAAAACTAACAAATATAACTACACAAAAGTTTGAAAATGTCTACCAGACAAAACAAATACAAAAGCAAAAGAAGGGGCGCCTGGGTGGCGCAGTCGGTTAAGCGTCCGACTTCAGCCAGGTCACGATCTCACGGTCCGTGAGTTCGAGCCCCGCGTCAGGCTCTGGGCTGATGGCTCGGAGCCTGGAGCCTGTTTCTGATTCTGTGTCTCCCTCTCTCTCTGCCCCTCCCCCGTTCATGCTCTGTCTCTCTCTGTCCCAAAAATAAATAAAAAACGTTGAAAAAAAATTTAAAAAAAAACAAAAGCAAAAGAAAATGGCAAACTGAGAGAAGGCTAATGTCCACATGATGTAAGAACTTTCAGAGATCGAGAAGATGTCCAACAACCCAATAGAAAAATGGTAAAAATAAATTAATTAATTAAATTTAAGAAAAAGAAAAATGGTGACCAAAAAAAAGGAATAGAAATCACTTTAAAACACCTGAAAAGATGTTCTGCTTCAATCATCATGAAATACTGCAACAGATTATTTTTCATCTATCAGATTGGCAAAAAAAAATTTAGTGTAACAATACCATTTGCAGGTGGAAACAAGAAGATGCCAACATATGCTCATGTACTGTCAATAGGAGCATAAATTCGTGCAAGTTCTTTGAAGGACAAATTGGCAAGAAGTTGAAAATTTTCAACCTACGTGTCCTTTGATGCAGCGATCTTTTTGTGTTTTTTTTTTTAATTTTTTTCAACGTTTATTTATTACTGAGAGACAGAGAGACACAGAATGTGAGCAGGGGAGGGGGCAGAGAGAGGGGGAGACACAGAATCCGAAGCAGGCTCCACGCTCTGAGCTGTCAGCACAGAGCCGGATGTGGGGCTGGAACTCACGAACCGCGAGATCATGACCTCAGTCGAAGTAAGATGTTTAATCAACTGAGCCACCCAGGCACCTCTGATACAGCGATTTGAGGAGCGATTAAGGAGGCGCCTGGGTGACTCAGTCGATTAAGCGACCAACTTCTTAAGCAACCGACTTCAGCTCAGGTCATGATCTTGCGGGTTCGTGAGTTTGAGCCCCGTATTGGGTTCTGTGCTGACAGCTCAGAACCTGGAGCCTGCTTCGGATTCTGTGTCTCCTCTCTCTCTCTCTCTCTCTCTCTCTCTCTCTGCCCCTTCCCCACTCATGCACTGTCTCTCACTTGCTCTCAAAAATAAGTAAAACATTAAAAAAAATTAAAATTAAAGAATGTTTCCTACAAAATACACTCACAAACGTGTGCAAAAAGTACGTACGAGAATAGTCACTACAGCTTTATGCGATCGCCAAAAAAAGAAAAAGAAAAAAAACCCTGAAAGCCCTAAACATTCACCAATAGGATAGTTAAATACATCAGAAGTACAGTAAATGTTGTATAAAGAGACGCTGATAAAAGCAGATGCCCAAGGTGGGAGAGGAACCCCCACAGAGGAGACAGGGACTGGAATCGACTTCTCAATGCATTCTTATTTCTCCTATTTTGATGTTTGAATGCTTTGAATGTATTATCTATTGCAAAAAGCAAAACTGAATTTTAGAACAACAAGAAAAAGAATGAATCGATCTATCTCTGCCAATACAAAACGATCTGCAAATATAATGTTAATTGGAAAAAGCAAGCTACAGAAGCCTATCTAGTATGCCACCACTTGTACGGGAAAGCACAGGCACTGCAAATGTCTAGGAAGATACACAAAAACTGCTAACAAGGGTTTCCTCTGAAAGGAAGCTGGAAATCTGGAACGGTAGAATCACTTTTCACTTCATAGCCACTGGTACTTGTTTTTAACCAAATATATATAATTTCAATGCTTTGATCCCCAGATCAAAATAATTGGGGTAGAATCACCAGGAAGAAATCCGCAGAATCCCACAGAAGCACTGAAGTAGACTTTGTGGGGAAAGAACTACCAGAGCAGGGAAAGGGCCCCCTACCAGTATTCAGTGACCTGAATGATCCATCTGGCTGGGCACTGAGCTTTGGGAGACGGGCGAGACTTCCAAGTCAAATCCACCCAGCTTCACTCCTGCCTTTGCTACTTGACTAGCTGTGTGGCCTCAGGCAGGTTCCTTCGCCTCTCTGTGCCCCTTTCTTCATTAATTCAAGGGAATTATTACACTTGCCTCTATTATAATAACTTAAAAAATGACACCGTACAGGTAAGGTGCTTATGCAAAAGCCTGGCATGTAGCAAGTATTTAATTCGTGGCAACAGAAGAAAGGTTATATTGGCTATCGTACCCTGATACCCTGGAATATCACAGGACTTTTGGGGAGAATTGGATCGAGCTAGGCCTGATAACCTGGTTAAGATCTCCAGTCACATTCTTACTTCAAAAAAAGCAAGAGACCAGAATGTTTATCAGGATTGCATTTAGGGGTGAGGGAAATAAACTACGATTCCCTTTTGATTTTTGTTTTAAATCCAATTGTTATGAGCATTAAAAAAAGTCGGCGGGGCTACCTTCCGATCTGTAAAGGCTGGATCTCTCTGGAGAGATTTGCGAAGGACGGGTTGGAGGGACGCCGGCCTTTTACTTTCTGCATTCGCCGTCTTGTTGGGGCTCTTCTCCACTAGCGTCCGGCGCCCTTTGGATTTTCAAAGAAGCCAGGGCTTTTTCATTAGAAAATGAGTGGGAACGAGGAGTGCGGCGGGCGCGGGGCCCGGAGCGCGCAGCCCGCGGCAGGCCCGGCGCCCGCTGC